CCGGCCGTCTCCTCAGCGCTGGCCTTTGTGTCCCCAGTGCCGGAGTACCAGGGGGAGCCGGATGAGATCTCCGTGCAGAAGTGCCGCGAAGCCGCCCGGCAGGTCGCTCCCTTTCTCCTTCCCCTTTCCCGCCGGTCGGAGCGGGGGTGCGGGTGCGGGAGCTCCGGGGAACCCTAGCCCCGGCGGGGCGGGAGGCACCTGGGGGCGTGAGGCTTCTGACCCGGCCCAGAGGAAAGTCAGGGACGCAACCGGGCCCGGCCTGGCCTCGCTGCACTCCTGTCACCCAGCTGTTTATGGCCTGTGCTGCGTGGTGGTGGATTCTCACTGGTGACATAGTGTTCAGGCAGTCCCGCTGCTGCTCCTCTGGTCTCTTGTGTCCCTCAAGCGGCAGGAGGACATGACAGATCCTTCAGTCTAGCCCCAGCGGTTGTGGGACTGGAGCTTCTGATGGATCACCTTCCAGAGCTGTGTCTGGGTTGGGTGTCTTAAAGGAACCAAGTGAGGATCAAGACTCGAGGAGAATGCAGGTGTGCCTCCAGGACACAGGCTTTCCCATTCCTTATCCCACTATTCCTGCACCCCAAGAGGGCAGGGCATGTTCAGCTCTGCTAATTTTTTTTCCATGTGAGATCTTCCCTACCACACTTCAGCCACTCTAGCCTACCTGGGGAGAGCATGGGTTTAGTTGTGTTTGCCTGGCATGCATTGCCTCAGAGGACAAGAACTTCAGTGGCTGGTGGATTTTTGTGATGTTCCTGTTATCATAGAAATGTGAGAATAGGATAGAGCAAGAAAAATGGGGTTGGAGGCAGCACCTTCCTGTGGGTCTAATGTTTCCTTCTCTTGGGTTTTTGCTGTAGGTTCAGGGACCTGTTATAGTAGAGGATACCTGCTTGTGCTTCAATGCCCTGGGGGGGCTTCCAGGACCGTACATGTAAGTAGGAGGGCACCTTCACATTTCGTGTCCTAGAGTTAGGAGCACAGGCTAACGGGGTGCGCTTCACGGGGGATTCTCCACATGCCAGGAGCAATAGGGTCAGGGAGGTGATTACTGGTCTGTGTCCTTGGCTTCATCCTGCACCCCAGGGGCTGGACTTGAACTCCTTGAGCCCTGCTGTAAGTCACAGTACAGGACAAGAGAGACAGACCCAAATTGTTGGCTCTGGCTCCTGATCTACGGTGCCTGCTCCTGCAGCCAGCTTGGGAACCTGGCCCCACAGTGGGCTCTGCGTAGTTAAGGCACCATGCATTTCAGCAGCACTTTGGGATGAGTGTCCTCTAGGTTCTCATAGGGACTGCTTTAATCCAGCAGATAACAAGATTATTACGTTACAGTGTAACTCCTCTAATAAAATGCTGCCTTAGCTCCTGGAATTAACTTTTAGTGTGGCTAATTCTTCCAAACTATCTCTGCTGAGCTAAGCAGAGACATAAAAGCTTTATATGATAAAGTTGGCACTAGAACTAGGTGTAAGATGTGAACAAGTTGAGTTGAGAAATGTATTTTGGTATGTCTCTGCTCATGAGTGAGAACTGGGTTATTTACGTAGACACCAGTACTGCAGTAAATTAAATACCCCGCTGCTCTTTTCACTGTGTCCCATTCAGTTTAAGAGCTAAGTCTGTCATTATTGGTAAATAGTCTAGCATGACGTGATTTGACAGCACGTTTAAGAGGGATTCAAAGGGCTATGAAAATGTAGGCAACGATATTTCAAGGATGCCTGTATTTCTGAGAAATAATAGCGAAAATTAATCTTTCCTCTCTTCTTCCCCTTCAGAAAATGGTTCCTGGAAAAACTCAAACCAGAAGGTACTGCCTTCCGTGTTACTGCTCTGTGTGTAACTTGGTTCTTTCCAAATGAAATGGATCCCTGTCTGTGCTGGGTTCTGCCGAGCGTGCTTGCCCGCTGCACTGCCCATTTCATAGCTGGTTCCTTTCCTGTCTGTCCAGCTCTGTCCCTTCACATTCTCTCCTTGAGCCTGTTCTGTGCCCTTCTTCACAGGGTGTTGTTTCCTCCAGTAGCTTCAGCATCATCCCTGGATTCCCAGACTCCTGCCTCTGCAGGCTGGTGGAAGGGCTTGTGGGAACATCTTCTTTGTCATCAGTGTGACCTGGAAGACCTGCTGCTCCCTTTGTCTTCTGTGCAAAGCCCCTCTCCACTAATGCTCACCTCCCCTGGTGTGCAGTGACTGCCTCTGATCCCGCAGTTAAGAGCGTGACTGCAAATCCTGCACTGGTGTCACGAGCATGAGCGTTAATCGTGTTAATTCAGAGTGGGCTTTAGTCCTCTCTGGTGCTGTGCATTTGCTTGCTTCTGCTCACAAATTAATAGCAGGGCCCTGCAGCTCATGCTGTGTTAGATCTGAGGTGCTGGCTTCAGTCATATGAGGGACCCAGCCAAGGGCATCCTTGTGCCTGAGCTTTGTCACCACCTGTAGTTCTGCCTCTCCCTTGTGAATGTGAATGCAGAATGCTCCCTCGATCTGTCTCTAGGTGGGTGTGTTGCACTCTGAGAGAAAGGTGGTAATGCTGGAATCCTTTCTGTGTTGCTCAGGCCTGTACAAGCTGCTGGCTGGGTTTGAAGACAAATCTGCCTACGCTCTCTGTACCTTTGCATTCAGTACTGGAAACCCAGAGGAGCCAGTGAAGCTGTTCAAAGGCCAGACTCATGTAGGTGTTGTGCCTGGGAAAGGGAACATGCTCAGGGAGGAGGGCTGTAATGTGAATTTTGTAACAGCATTGACTCTGTTGAGGACAATTTTAGTGGCTTCTGCGTTGTTGAATGTCCTCAGAGCTTGTTGAGAACAGGCTGAGGGAGAGTGTGGGTGGTGGGTGCTGAATGCTGCAGCCCTTTTGCCCAGCTGTATGTACTGAATGCTTTGCACGTTACCTCATGCTCTTCAGCCCCCTCATCTCTCTCTGGCAGGGTTGTATTTGAGTGCAGTTGTTAGCTCTGTTAATTGTAGGGGTAAAGGGGCTGTCAGCATGGGGTAGCGTGATGGAACACTGAGTTTGGGACTGGTAATTTGGTTTGCGTCCTGGGAATGAGGACAGCACCACATACCAAGCCTTTGGTGACCACCACGTGAGCTATGGCTGCGTGTAGCTCTTCAGTCTGTGTTTGAAATGCGACTGCGAAGGAAGTGGCTGCAAAACCACAGCTTATGGGGCTTTTTTGTTTTCTCGTGGCAGGGGCTGATAGTAGAGCCCAGAGGCCCCCGAGACTTTGGCTGGGATCCTTGCTTTCAGCCGGACGGCTACAACCAGACGTAAGTGGTGTTTTACCTACAGTTCTTTATATAAGGAAAGTCAGGGTTGTGTGTGGAGTCATGTTTTGTGTGGAGGGGAACCTGCTTACAAGTGAGGGTGGCAAGGAGAAAACGCCCTCCTGGATCTGAACATGGTGGGTTACAGGGAAGCCCTGGGTCAGGGTGGGGGTTGTTGGCTTTGCCAGCATGTCACTACAGACGCCCTGCTACAGTCGAGCAGGGAGATGGCGAGCAGAGGGGGAACTCTCGGTGACTGGGGGGAGCACGTGCTGTAGCGTCTCTGCTGCTGAGACTTGCGGTTTCTCTCCCCTGCAGCTACGCTGAACTGCCCAAAGCAGTGAAGAACTCGATCTCACACCGGTACAGAGCATTGAGCGAGCTCTCCGCCTTCTTTCTTCAAAGCAACTCGACAGAGCCCTGCTCCGGTCCCAGCTAGCCTCCCCGAGCTGCGGGCACCCTGTGTTGTCCGTGTCGCGTACTGCCCCGGGAGAGCTCTGCTCTGCTGCGGGTTGCCATTAAAGCTGCTCCTTCTGAAGGCACCGGTACCGCTTCCCCTTCGCTGTTTTTGTTGCTTCAAGACGTGCTGCAGAGCCCCGCAGGTCTGGGTTATTTAGGCTGAACTCTTGTGCCTCACGGGGGCACGGGCTTG